AGTTGACCACCGATATTGCTGAGTGGATGAGGGGATTATGATCAGTAGTGGTAGGGTGTAGGACTTGGCAAGAAGACATTAATAGGGAGAAGTGAGGCCACGGAGAGATTTGAAAGCAAGGATGAGAAATTTAAAATTGATGCTATACTTTTACTGGGAACTAGGCGGAGTTGATAACTAGGGAATATAGTTTGTAGCAAGGACTGAAAGTAATGACTTCACACTTCCCAATATTTAATTGGAGGAAATATCTGCTTATTCAATGCTGGATGTTGGATGAGCCATCTGATAATTGACTACTGGTGGTGGTGAGGTAGAAGCTGATTGTCGTCAGTGTACAAGTGGAAACTGTGTTTCCAAGACTAAAATATGAATATTAAATTTGGGCCCAAGATTTATTGTCTCCTCTCTTAATCACTACTGAACAATCGCTACTGGAACTTTACACAAAGGAATAATTATACCAGAAGATCAATAGAGTCTACCTCAGCAGGCAGATAACAAAAAAAGTGAAGGAATTGTGCCAATTTTTGCTCATGTGCATCTCTGTGGATTTGATTGTGACTGATTGGTCCTTTTGAAGTGCTAGCATGGGCAAAATGGGCTGAAGAACTGCCACCTGGCAAATTCTATGAATTGTCTTTTTTTTATATAAGAAAGAACTGATAATTATAAATTGATGTCTACCATGCATTTGAATAGCACATGAAAACACCTCTCAAAATTAAGTTTAAGAAGCCTAGAGTCTGTTATATTTGCATTTGTTTTACTTAAATGTATTGATTTATTAATGTTAACTGACTATCAAGTATTATGAAATGTAAAAATGCTCTCCATGGAAGATTTCCTGTAACTTTCATTCTTGAGCTCTGTATGCCTTGGAGCTAGTTCCCTAATGCTATTATTTATCCTCAAATTTTAAACAAAATATTTGTAAATAAGCCAAACTAAACTGATAAACAAATGGGTTGAGCTTTTTTTGATCATTTTGAAATGTAACTGGTTAATTTTGGGTATTTTCAGAATTGAGTCGAGAGGACTAAATAACCAGGGACTGCCATCACCAGCAAACCTATGTAACAGTCAGTCTGAAAATTATGATTTAATTTTTTTTCGTCGTTCTGTATCTCTGTTTTAAATAATTTATGCTGATGACCTAATCAGTAGAACTGGCTTAAGGTGTTAGTGAGCAAAATAGTTCAAAGGGGCTTAATTAATAAACATCAAAATCTGGTCATCAATTTGGGGGAATTTCAGCTCTATGAAGTTGTTGATGAGAAGAATTGGAAAAAATTAGTGGAGTGAATACCAATCATGCTAGTGAGCCTCTTTTTTTTTTTTTAATTGAAATGATGATGTCAAATTTTATAACCACACCATTTGAGTAACCAGAGGTGGTTTTTTCTGCTGTGCAGGTTTGTCCCTGGATAGAAGCTTGTGTATATGTGAAAGCAAATATATGCAACTACTGGGCCTGCTAGTTAGGGGACAACTAAGAAGCTTTATCTTTGTAACTAACAGTAGAAAATCTCTCTTCAAAACCTATGTTGTGACTGCATCCCAATTATGTAAATTGATTCTTGATTTCTGAAAATAATTGATAAACTTTTTCAATATGGTCAAGAAGAATAAATTTATGATTGAATGTTTAGCATGGCAGGATTTTGTTTGGAATTAGCATCTTTAAGTATTTTTGCTTAAAACTTTGCAGTTGAAGCTATCTTAATCAATGTGCTGTAGTCATCAGTATGTGTATGGTTGAAAATATTGATTGGTAAGGATTTTAGACAGTGCATCTGAAGCTTATAATGTCAGCAGTAGTTTGATAATGAAAAGAGTGGAACCTAAGGGAATGGAGACAGGTGGTGCATGTCCTAAAGCCAGCAGTGACACGGCTGCTTTGAATCCCATAAGAGACACGGATCGTGCCCTACTCTTTACAGATGTGACTGCTTGGTATATACAGTTTCCTGTTCAAAATAACAAGCCTCAAACAAGATCACAAAATAATGGTTGTTGAAATAAGAAACAATAGGATTTTCAGGGGGAAAAACAGTGTGCAGTCTTGAATCCTTAAAAAGGTATTGAATGAAATACCCATAGCTTGGTTATGACTGTTTTTCTTGTTTTTATAGTAATCCTTTTTGATGCAGTGTTCCAAATGAAAGTGATATTGGTTTCAGTGTACAGTACTTTACATATGTGTAGCATAGGTAACTTGATAATTGTTCTGTTCAGTTGTTTGCCTTTAATGTTCAAACCTCACCAGACTTGGCTGTTTCCTGATTTTATTTTGTAATTATTGAATTTGTTATGTAAACATGCATCTAGGATGCTTTTCTACATTTAGCTGACATTACTTCACATAAGCCAGCTGGATCTGCATTTCAAATTTAGTGTGCACAAAAAGACCATCCTGATTATGTCTAGAAAGCTATTTGAATATATTAAATTGAATGAAATAAATTTCTGTCCTTTTCATAGTCCATAGACACAAGATCTAGCTCAGCATGGTTTGTAATATGCAAAACATTGCATGGTCATCTGTGCCATCTGGTATTTATTACATATAACAACCCTTTTTAAACCTGTAAAATTGGATTATGTGCACACTTCTCTTTGAATATAGGTTTCCTCCATAATGTGATTTCTGTGAACAACTAGCATTTCTGTATTTTAAAATCCTTTTTAATGGTGCTTAGACATTTAGTGCTCCCTGGTCCTTGGTAAACTATGTTCTGTAAAGTGGATGACATATTAGAAAAGTATTGAAAACTAATTGATAAGCATAGGCATCTGAGCTTACAAGACAATAAGCAATTTTTGTGTTGTATGAATTACCTTATGTTTTGGACTGCACTGGAATAAGTTTTTGTAATTGCAGAAAGGTATGGGCAAATAACATCAATAATCTATTGTAGCGAAGAATGTGAGACTTCCTGGAAGTGGAAGAAGGGCTAATTTAGTCTGATATGGTATAGTCTGACGTACTATATTAGCTGTTTATTTTTCCCTGCCTCTGAAATGGCTCTGCCATGAATAGAAGTTACTTTTACAGCAGAGGCAATTGGTTGTTCAGAGTCGAGAGTTTATTTTGAAGTACCAAACAGACTTAGTAGATGGCAGGTCTGTTGCAACATGTGGCTGATGGGTTAATGGAGTAATGGATCACAAGCCGGATTCTTTGCTGTCATTTGATTACAGCAGTGGTTTCAGCAACGTCGCACTATATCATTCAGAACATTTCTACCTGAAAACTTGAGTATAAAATATTTTTTCATGATTTGCTATGATTGCATGACCTCAAGTTACTGCTAGAAATGTATAGTGCTCAACGTTCAAGAGTGCTGATAAGAGAACTGTTATGTGTGCAAAGTAATGTTTAATTTATTAGGATGGTTCAAATTGGCTTTAGGCAATCCAGCCACAGCTTGAACTGGTTTGCTGGGACTACAGGAAAATTTAATTAGCTACTTCACATCCACATGTAAAATATATTAATAAAAAGTGTAATTAACATTACAAACATTTTATAAAAATTGTTTGTGTAATATAAACTACATGGTTTGTAAGTTGCAAACACAGAACGAGCATCTTGTAGTAAAGGGGTTTTTAAAAAATATTCCTTCCCCCCCCCCCCCCACCCATGTGAAGATACTGATATTTTTTCAACAAAATAGTTCATTAAAGGCAATATATTATGAAACTGTTAGAGTTGTAGATATTTTTAACTTAATACTGTTTTGCTTGATTTTTGTGGTGCTGCCAAGTCTCCGTACATAGTGGGAAGTGTATTTAACATAATATTACAGATTTAAAAGGTGATGACTATGAAGAAAAGGATTTTAAGAAATCCAAGATTATAAATTCCTAATTTTGGTGTAATGATTTTAACGTAGCATCGTGTGCATATTTTTACAAATGTGGAGAAAGCCTGGATATTAGCTATCTTTTATTTGCTAATTGAGTCTGATTTTCCATTTGGGTTTTTAACAAACGTAGCATGAGATTCCTTACCTGAATAGTTCCCCCCCCCCCCCAAAACCAAAATACCCCTATCTTTTTTGCCTCCTGATTGCACAGGTATTCTGCTGTCCAGCATTTTCCTTAATTGCATTGTTTCAGTTGTAGGCAGGCAAAATTTGATATCAAGACTTTTTTTTAAAAAAAAACTATACGCATATGAGGCTTTTAGTAATGTAGCGTTGTAGTTGCATGGTAGCATGTAATATAAAACCACTTCTTTTTTATAAGAAACTTTTATGATACAAAAACCCAAATATTTCGCATGCCTTCCATTTTTCATTGCTTTTAAAAAATATGGTATGGAACACATGCCTTCCATTTTTCATTGCTTTTAAAAAATATGGTATGGAACACATGCCTTCCATTTTTCATTGCTTT